AAATTACGGCAATGTTCAAATTATCTTAGATAGAAATTCATAAAAGTTTTTCTTTTTAATTCTAAGATTTGAAAATTTATTACAGGGCTCCTAAAGTCCTAACATATTTTTACAATAGCAGTTGCAAAATAAAAGAAATGCATTGCTAAAATTTTTTTTTACAAGCATTCAAAGTTTGAATTTTGACAAAATACATAAAAATCACGAAAATTCGTAAATTATTTTTTGCTAGAAATTCACAAAAAATGTTCCTTTTATATCTAAGATTTGAAAAAGTTTAATAATTTATAATATATCCTAGACAGATAAACCGTTTCCGCTTAGAATCGTTTTTCGTATACAATGATATAATATCATTGGATTCAAATTCAATTCCATCCATAACAGTAACCCACTTGTAACCTACTGCATAGCAGAGCGACATCCACGACTTAACCGCTTTTTTACTAACTGCAATGCTATGGATTCTAAATAGGTATTACATTTTGGTTTAACGTTTAATTAAAACGTTTTTTGACATATGGAAAAACATATTTATTTAAAATATATACAGAAGTGAAATTAATGAAATTCAACTTAGTAAGTATATTTATTTTAAATCCGTTACAACAAAATTTTAACTGTGGAAATTACAGTAAAAAAGTATTCATCTGATGTGACATATTCGCATTATTATTATTGAATTGTTCACTGAAAATAATTACTTTGTTTTATATTCGATTCCTGCTGTAAATGAATTGATATTACATTTTGATTTATTTTTCCAGAAAGATAATATTTTCTGCGTGTCAAGTACATACGAGTCATAATAATTATATTAAATTCTAATGTTTTCAATAATGTTGTAAATAAAGTACACCTCGAGCAGTTAGAAAATAACTACCATAGTTGATATACTGAGTATTATTAAAAAAATTAATTTAATAATAAAATTATTAATTATTGTAGTCACAAAACAATTTTAAATAATAGGATTATGTAATATTTTTTTATAATAAAACATATATTGATTCTGTCTATATTTCTTTCTTGTTTAAATGATTCGTTTTGAACGGTATAAACACATTTTAAATACAATAATAGTACATCTTTGTAAAATCGTATAGTGTAGTTGTTATGTATTGAAAGGCCAACAATGATAATATTATTTGTTTGCATGAAATACGCAGATAGTAAGGCATTTATAACGCATTATTCGTGTGTCATATTAGCCGCGTGTATTAACTATATATATACGTAGCTAGGAAATATATTAGGAGATCTTTATGTACGTTCATTAATTATATTATCCACTCAAATTTGTACAGTAATTATAAAATAATATTAATTAATTTTGAAATTAAATTCGTTTTCAAAGTTTTTCATTTCCAAATGGATTCGAAATATTCTCAATGTGTATTTGCCATTTGGTGTGCATGTTATTAATTACAGTAGATACAAGGTAGGAACAAGAACTATACAGTGTAATTATATGTAAATTTAGTATCGATGTATGGAATCGAAAAACTTAAAGATTTTGGCAGTGTTCAAATCTAAATATGTTTGTGAGGACTTGCAAGCTGACGTACGTATATATAGTGTTAATATTATATGAAAGTGTGAAGTTAATATAATAGTAATATGAATAATAATATACATATTCCCTTCCATAACTGATCCTTATAGTATTGTTTAAGTCAAATCGTTTAAAATACGTTAAAAAATGTGATGCTTAAATGAAATCTTAAATATAATAAATTTAGATTCTAAACGATAAATTGAAATTAGATCTGGTTTTACAATATGCACAGTGTGTGAATTTGGAGATAGTCCTAATATGTACTTAAACTTCACGTCTTTATTTTGATAATGATAATTTATATTTGATTTTTTAAATTAACTGCAGTGAGATAAAAAATTAGAAATTCTTTATATCATATGGCCTAAATTATAGTTTAACGTTCAATGACATGACATTGTGCTAGATTTCTTCATATTGATATGATAAGTAAATAGGTATAAAACCGGGAAAATCTTTCTACTGTTTACCAAGTCTTATATGTACCTTCCTTATCATCTTATTATTAGAATATACGCCTAAAAATGTTGAATTCAATGATGAATTCATGCTAACGAAAAACAATTCTGAGTAGAGGCTAGCTTATATTTCTATACATATTTTATTTGTATTATTATATCAAAACTTCCCTTAACTGTCACTTCTAATTAATAGATTGAATTTTAGTGACCAAATAAATATATATAAATTGTGTTATTTTATGAATTAATTGTGAATAATTTCAATTAATATAATTTTTGTTATTATTGTCTTTTCATGAACTTCACAATATTTACCATTTAATTTTGCCATTACGGCATTACTATAATAATTTAGTACAAATATCTTTGAAATAAAATATTAGTGAGACTTTCAAAGTTTTAGACCAAAAGATGTTTTATTTAATTAAACCTATATAATATATTCGAAGGCTATTGACCTTCAAACATTTTGCTAGTATAATAGTCAGAGTTTTGTAGTTGTATCTGAATTTAAAAAATGAATACTTAATTTCAAACGTAACTTATGGTAGGTTTGATATTTAAATTTTTGAAAGATCATTTAAAAGTCGATAATAATATGTGTGAATTATACACGCTGTATACACATATTAGTTATACAAACATTACACGTAAGCTATAACATATTATACATAATTTGAATTCAACATTAATATATGTTTAATGGATTTGTAGGATTTTGGAAATAAAACTAATACAACTTCTGAATAAAAACAAAAATACCGTTTGATGGTGGCGGTGGTGGTGGAGCAGGTGGTCTCTCTGAGTAACTGCCGCTAGCCAGGTCTTCAGGATTTTCTAGTTCCTTGTCATCGTCTGGCTGTAATAAAAAAAAATAAAAACAAATAAGTTTTATACGCTCGGGAAAAGTTCTAGAACTCTGAGCTAGGAAATGAGAAATTAATTTACACAGTAGCCGGGCATTTTATGATTACAGTGGACTCCATAAGATTTTAACGATTCATTGTAAAATCCGACAAGCAGGCAGACTGAAATGTTACACTCGGGGGGTTGTTTCTTATCAGATATTACGTGACCTGAAACTTGGCGTACCTCACACGAGCAGAGGCCGACTTTGGGCTGTATTGATCATTGGAGTGCATTGCAACTATGCGGACGGAGAGTGGAACAATTTTACGATTCAGACATGAAATTAATAATAATAATAATAAGACATCGAAAACGAAAACCACGTCCGTATATAAAATATATATTTTAAGTGCGGTTACAATCAAAATGGTACAATGATTAATCATTTCGAGAAATAAAATAATAATTCGAATAATGCGAATGTAGGTACTACGATAATTCGCATTAGCCAGTGGGTTTGAATATTTTAACATATAATAATAAAACAATAATCGCATGCTTAGAGAATAACTAAATTAAATAATTAATAGTTTACACGAACGTGTTGCATAGAAATTCTGCTTGTATAAGTCATCTAACTCGTTTTCCGAATTTTATCCAATCATATCGTGATCCTATCAGTTATATTAATACGCATTATCAATACGAAATCGTATTTGTGTGTCTACTATACTGAACAATAGTTATTTGTATTAGTACTTTTTTTTCGGAGTGAAACTTTTTAATAAGTCTGATAAATGATAATAGCTAGATTCTATGCTCCGTACCAAATAAGAGCGCACCGGGCGGCCACAGGAAAAACCGGTTTTGTTACGTAAATTTGGTGCGCTCTTATTTGGTACAAGGTATATTATATCGGTTGAATGACTGAAATAAGTGGCATTTCGTGCAAGCGTACTCACTACTTCCACTTTTATCTTTTTTAATTTTGTTCTTAATTTCGAAGATTCGGGGGACGCGCGTGGAAGACGTTGCTAACACACGATATTTTATCGCGTGTGTTTTGAATATTGTTCTACTTATGTTTAAATCACGGCGGACATCTAAAGTGGCTCGCTGAACAAATCCGAGGACTGCGCGCTATGGCCGCTTATCCGATGTTGTTTGTATTCCGTTCTACAAACGGCCATGTCTAAAGTACAAAAGTGTTGAAAAAACAAATAGCACTTAACCACGAAAACACGATGACCATACGGTTACCACACGTCGTCCGTCCGTCCGTGCAGGGTTCCCCGCCGCAGAGCACTTAATAGCTCGCCGAGTACAACACTGCTCACTGTTCCGTGTTAAGTTCAGAGATGGAGGTAGGTTGGTAATAATAATTGTTGCTGTTGAAGAAAAAGGATTCAAAAAATAATTCAAAAGGCTCACCGTGCGAACACTATTCGTTTGCGTGTTTTCAATAACAACTCTTTTAGGTTTAAGACAGGCGGCGGAAAACGCGTGAGAGTCGGAGGTGCAGCGAAGTCCAAATATAGTAAGTTTACGGCGCAACCGATTCGCTTTTAAATAATTATAAATTTATGATTGTACCACGGTTCGAGCTGAACGATATGGCGACGGTAGAAAATAATATTATTAATATGAATTGAACGGTGTTCGGAAACGATCGTTATTTAAGTCTGGTGACCGTATTTTTTTTCCAATTAAAAATAACTACGACGCCGTTGCAGTTAGTTGCAGTTGTAGTTCGTTGAGTGTACTCTTTCGTGCTGCATTGCTGGCTTACTAAATTCAATAATAATAAAATTTATATTATTATAATGTTATGAACACATAAAAGGTACCACGGTAACTGGGACCCCGTTTTGATAGTGATATCATTACTGCGATTTAAGGTGGGTTTCTACTACACACGTTCGCATAAATCCTCTGCTGTGATTGGTTGGTTATGTTAGGTTACCGCATGATTAACCACGGTACTCTTTTACTCGATGTATATCAATGGTAGTTCGGTGTAGTAAGGTAAGAGACTAAGAAATATAGATGTATAAATTATTGTACTTTGCCATCAAGACAGATTACATCACTGTATCTTTTCGCCAAGACAGCCTACATCACTGCGAGATGTTTTACCGCCGTTCGTAACTTTTCTGTTATGTTCCATGGACTAAGATACCTCAGTTAATATGTTCAAATTCTGTTGTATATAGTACTTGTCTTTATCTAGTTTAAAGTCTAACGGGTCTAAGTGATCATCAACGATAATGAATTATTAATAAATCGCTTAAAATTCGCGTTGTTTACTTAAGTCCGTTGTTTCTTTTGGTGATTTACGTTCGAAAATACAATACATAAATATGTATTAAATAATTATTGGTGTATCGTTTCTTTAAGCGGTGGCTGTATATGATTTTTGTTGTTGTTGTTGTCTATTGGCTGCGAACAACTATGATGAAACCGCATTTATAAACGAATAAAGAAGGGAAAAGAACGGAACGGATTTGGCATGGTTTTCATTCTAAACGGTGAGTTTGCTAAGCCTTTCGTTTGATTTATAGTCCCAATATTGTGCCAAAATAATTGACAAGGTCCTGGTTGAGCCCGTGTACTTTCTGCAATATAAATGACTCGATTCGACGTGTCTCTTTCACTATTCCACTCCAGTCACGCTGCCTTTGTCGAATCGTCTTATATTCCAAACATACGATGAGTATATTTTAGCCATACTATGGAAGACCTTAACAATGATAGATTCATTTTTTTCTCTCGCCAGAAACAAAACACACTACCACTACGCGTGTCAAGTGCATTTCATATTATTATTTTTTCGTTACACTTTTGTTATTCAATATAATATTATATAACTGTATTATATTACGTGTACTTTCAACAACCAAATGATGTACGTCTAAGGTTTTATACGTAGCTTTATCCRCCATACGATATAAAACAGATTGGCAATCCGATTAAATAAAAATGAAAAAGCTATACAATATGGTGTGTATCAACTGTATATTTTTATCGTTAATACAACAATAGAGACATTTTGTGGACTGTGAAATTAGATTTTCGGTAAGTATTTATTTCTTTTAATTTAAAAGAAGATAATATAATAGTAATTGTCTATTGTGGATCGTGCAATTTATTCAGTCTAAATCGATATTATTATACCTAATACTGGAGCATCAGTATAAAAAATTGCAGTGCAATTTTTCTGAAAAAAAAAGATACAAATGTAAAAAAATATGTGCTATATACGAATTTTTATTTAAATTTCATGGGCAACTACTGATAAGGATAATAATATTTCAGTTATTTTATTAATGAATGAAAAAACGTATTGAGTAATAAAAAGTTTGCTAAATAGGCACAACGCTCAATACGCGATGGCTTTTTATATTTATTTTCGCCACAATTTAAAGTGTAAACAGAACGGAAAGTTTTTTCCTCATTAGAATATGAAATGTAAATTGTTTGTTGTATTTAGTATGCTAAGTACCGAGGAATCGTTCTAAAATTCCTTTTTGCATTAGATACTATATTATATAGGTGCATGATAGTTCAATTTAAAATAAGCATAATTTGCAATATTCGTGACTTTGTATGATTTAAATAGGATTTTCCGTGTTCAAAATTGAAGCGAATGTAAACGCTTTGTACATTTGTATTAGAATTCAAAGATAGAAACGCGCGTGTTAGAATATTATGATTAGGTACATTGAATTTTGCTCTCGTGTTACACATAATGACGGACATTAATATATCATATCTCTACAAAGGTAATATTTTTTTCAACAGTCCTCTGCTACTGTTTGTATTATTACTTATATTATATGTGTTAACTATGAAATGGTAATTCAATGTATGATATACCAAGACGGAAAAGTGAATCCCGCCAATATAATTATTATTTTAATAGTCAAATGATTTAATTTCTACTAATTCAAGGCTAAAATCTAAGTAACAAAATTGTACCAAATGTACATAATTCAACTTAAACGTTCATTAAAAATTAGCAGAAAATACACAATCAATAAAATAGCGTATTCTATGCAAACTTTAAAATAAGTTAATTAAATTCATTAATTAAGTGTTAGATACGTTTAAAATAAAACCAAACAAGACTATCTGAAAATTTTTAGTTGAAATTGATATATAATTAATATAGGAATATTTTTTAAATATAATCACGAACATTTTAAATTTTCACAAACTATAAAATATTCTATTAATTATACTATGAATATTATTAAATACCCAAGTAATAACAAAACTCTAATTTCTGATTATTCAGTTAGGATTATGCGTATTAAGGGAATCAAAATTTAAAGTATTTAAATAGTTAGGTTAAATTATTTTATACACTGAAATATTTTAGACATTTAATATTCATGACATGATTATTAAATAATTTTATTTTTCTTATCTTAATATGAAAATTAAGCTTATACAATGAAGATTTCAGAGGACGCTAAACGTTATTTCTATAGTTATCAAGTACTGCTTAATGCATTAATCCTTTTATTTAAAATTATAAATCTATTAATTAGTTCGTTTCATTCATCTATCTGCAAACATTTTTTCAGTATGTATCACAACGTGCCTACATCGTATAAAAAACACCAATTGACGTGTCAAGTGCATGAATAGATGAATAGATTCATGAATGGATTTTTATTTGCATTGATGTTTGATATGTACGATAAGTTTTAGTCATTTCTGAATATTTATTTTATTGAGCAAAGAGAATAAGAGTTATGTTTTTCGCAATTCATACTAAAAATAAAGTATGGGAGTGCAGACGTTTTAGTGTTTTGACGGTTTACGAGACTGGTTCGGTAAAGGGTCCCAACCGAGTAGTTTTGTTAGCATAATATAAATAAGTAGGTAATAGGAATTTTGTTTTGAATATTCCGAATTTTAACTGAAACAGTGCCCTTGAGTAACTTTAATTTTACTTTAAGCAGACAAAACGTGCGGCAATCAAAAAGGTATACCAATATACCT